TCTTTTCTTTCTTTCTTTTTTTTTTTTTTTGCTGAGGCTTTTCTTCTTTGGAGGCAGGGTCTTGCTATATAGCCGGGTTTGGCCTCAAACTCAAGTGATTCTCCTGTCCCAGCCTCCTGAGCGCTAGGAATATAGGTGTGCACCACCATGCCCGGCACTCACTTTCTCTCTCTCTCCCTCCCCCCCCTTCTTCCTCCCTCCCTCTCTTCCTTCCTTTCTTTCTCTTTCTTTCTGTGCTGGGGATAGAACTCAGCCTCTCACATAACAATAAGCACATGCTTACTACTGAGCTACATCCCCAGATCTTGTATTTATTTTTTGAGACAAGATTTCACTAAATCTCTAAATTGCCCAGGCTGAGCTTCAACTTGAGATCCTCCTTCCTCAGCCTCCCAGAATTCTAAGATTATAGGAGTACTGTACCATACTCCACTAATCTTCCATTTTGAAAATACCAAGAAAGGAGAGAGAAGGGGTGGGGGAAAAGGAAGAGAGAAAGGAGAGTGAGAGAAAGGAAGAAAGAAAGAAAAGAACCCAGCAGCAGAGGGTGAGAGGGTCAGGTCAGGCATAGGTGGTGGGGGATAAACAGGCTGGAGGCCCCAGGGTGAGGCAGACTGTGCCGAGAGAGGCTCAGGGATTCTTGCTCCAGACCTCTTCAGATCTTGCCTCTCTACCACCCACTCAGTAGCTCCTCTGCCCTCTGGCTTTCCATCCCCCTCAATTCCCTTCTGGGCAGGTACAGACCAGATAGGCTTTGGGCCTGTAGGTCATGTGGTCAACTGGGGAAGGGGACCAGCACAGGCCACAGCCAGAAATTCGTCTCCTCTGGACCCACCTGTCTTACAGCCCGCTGCCTACCTTGCTAGACCTGTGTGGCTTTCCCTGGCCCCAGTTTAAAGTTTTCAAAGCAGGGTTCTTAGGGAGAAACAAGGCAAGCTCAGAACCGTGATTCCCTACCCCAGCACCCCACTCGTGCCCTCCTCTCCCAGAGTTCTTGATCTTCTTTTGAGTCCTGTCCCAGACCAAGTCCTCTATACATATGATCTGCTCAAAATAAATTTAGCTCTGCCACAGATGAGGAAACTGAAGCTCCGAAAGGCCCTGTGACTGTCCACATGGCCCAGCTGCTCCATGTGTCTATGGCCTTGCCTCTCCCAGTTTATCTGGTTTTTTTGTTTGTTTTGTTTTGTTGAGACAAGGTCTCACTATGCAATTCAGGCTGGTTTTAAATTCACTTCGTAGCCCAGGTTGGCCTCGAACTCATAGTGATCCTCTTGCCTCAGCCACTTGAGTGCTGGGATTATAGGCATGCACTACCATACTTGGCTTTTTTTTTTCTTAATGGTACTGGGGATTGAACCCACATGGAGCTACAGTTGTAGTCCTCTTTTGAGACAAGATCTTGTTAAATCATTAAATTCCCCAGGCTGGGCTTGAACTTGCCATCCTTCTGCCTCAGCTACCCAGAGTGCTGGGATTACTGGCATGCACTACTACACCCAGCCCTTACCTTCTTTATTCATTCACTAAAACTTCCTACAGCCTCTGGGACTTAGGATTTAGGGGAGCGATGCTGTAGAAAGAGTGTAGCTCAGCATCAGATTGGCCAGGCCTGGCACTGATCCCTGGTCCCCTGGAAGGATGGGTTTTTGGTGCACTCACTGGGGTGCTCTGGGAAATGAAGAAGGAATAAATGAGACAGGTAGAACCTAGTTCCAGGCCTGCAGGGTCAAAAAGATATTTCCTGCTTTCCTTGATAGTAGGTCTAAGCAGGCAGGTATGGCCAGAGCAGGCTTGCCTAGATTGGAGAATGAAAAACAGACAAGAGAAAAACCTGGGTAACATGCCAAGGATGGATGAGGTATACAGAGGAAAATAAAACAGGGTAGATGCTAGAATGAGGGATAGGGGTGCCACTTCATAGAGCTGACACTCTTGGCTATTGGAAGGTGACTGATTTGGGGGCAAAGTTCAGGGAAGTTTGTAAAATTAGATAAAAACTGGTTGGGGGTAGCCAGTAGCAGAGCATGGCTTTGGATGTATGAAGCCCTGGGTTCAGTCCCAGCACCAAGAATTAAAAAAGGAATGGAACAACATGGAGAGCATTATCATTATTGGTGTTAATTTGTAGTTCTATTGGCATGAGAATCCTTATCTTTCTCTTTTTTTAAACCCTATTAGTACATGTTTCAGTACATGATGATTACATTCACCATGGGGAGGTGGTACAGGTACATAACATATCTTAATTCTTTTTCCACCCCTATCACCTTTGAACCTAGGGGTGGTTAAGTGCTCTACCATGGAGCTACACCTCCAGCCCCTTCCCCTTGTTCTTCAGGACAGGGTCTTGCTTTGTAGTGCAGACTGGCCTTGAACTCACTATGTCACTATGTAGCCCAGGCTGGCCTTGAGCTCACAGTGATCCTCCTGGCTCAGCCTCCTGAGTGCTGCAATCACAGGTATATGCCACCATACCTGGCTCCTTGTTTTTAATTCTGTAAGTGTGTGAATTACAGTTTCTATTATATTGCTAAATTGTCATTGCTCTTTTGATATGTGGGAATTATACTCATCCCCATCCCATAGTCAATGAACAGTCCTCCAATGCCCCAACCTAGTACCCATAAGCCTCCAGGGGCCAGGCTGTCCTCTCCTACAGAAGCAGTTCTTGAATGGGTGGCTCTTTATTCTCAGAGATCATTCTGGATTATGGACTCACCAGGGATCTGGTGATTTGAAAGACTGTGAAGAAGAGATATTGGTATAATTATGTTCCTGATAGCATTATTCACAAGTGCTAAAAAGGTGAAAGGAAACCAAATGTCCACCAACAGGTGAATAGATAAACAACAGAATGTTATTCAGCCTTGGAAATTCTGACACCTGCTACAACAGGAATGAAACTTAAGGATATCACGCTCAGTGAAATAAGCTAGTAACAAAAAGAAGATGCTGTATGAGTTCACTCATATGAAGTACATAGTCGAAATCATAGAGACAGAAAGTAGTGAGGCCAGGGCTATAGTTCAGTGGTAAAGCATGTTCAGGGCCCTAGGTTCAGTCCATAGCACCAGAAAGAAAAAGTAAAAATAGGATGTCATTTTGGTTCCTCATATGTAACAACCCTGTTAGAGGAAGGACACTGCCTTCCCCAGTGTACCAGAAATGACTAGAAGTACCCTGGGACAGAATAATTGAAGCCCCGAAGGTAATTCCATCTCAGAAGCTGGGTAGGGGATCAGGCATTATTTAGTGGATATGCTTTAGATTTGCAAGGTGAAAAAGAGAGTTCTGGAGATTTGTGGCATAGTGGTATGAACATATTTAACATTACTCAACTGTATACCTTAAAAGGGCTTTGGGGCTGAGGATGTAACTCAGTGGTAGAGTGCTTGACTAGCATGTGGAGAGGCCCTGGGTTTCAGCTCTAGCATCGAAAAACAAAAGGGTTGCAAGGATGATTTCTTTCTTTTTTTTTTTTGGCAAGTGCTTCTGTGCATGTTAGACAAAGGCTCTATCACTGAGCTATACCCCTGGCCTACAATGGTTAAGTTTTATATTTCACAGGGGTTTTGGAGGTGGCAGGAGATACTGGGGATTGAACACAAGGCCTTCACTTGATCTACATCCTCAGCTCTATTTTATTTTTTATTTTGAGGCAAGGTCTCACTAAGTCACTAAATTGGCCTGCTGGGGCAATGCTGGGTGATCCTCCTGGCTCAGACTCCCAGAGTGGAATTATAAACCAGACCACCACACACAGCATGAATTTTACACTTTTTAAAAGCAATTGTGAGAAGTATTATTCTCAGCTGTGCTCACTGGCCTCAAAGAAGGAGAGGTGGTAGCTGTCCTCAAGGGTTGGAGATGAAGTCCAAAAGCCTGAGCTCGTCTAAGTTTCCTCCCCAGGCCAGTCACAGAGCCTGTCTGAGTCAGTTTTCTTGCCAGTCATTGTGAGGATGAGAGGGGACAATAGTGACCCTCAATACACAGGGACTGAGGTCAGTTTCTCCCTTTGCTGAGGTCTGAAGCCTTCAGCTCACAAATAGTAAGTAGTGTGTGCACACCATGGCTCCCCAGAGAGTCTGTGTTGGGGCTAAGGCAACCCTAAGTGTGCTAGGTTGGGACAGCATTTGGGCCTCCCCTTTCCTATTCCCAGTTTCAGTCCCAGGGACAATAACCCTGTTGCCCCAATTTACCAGCCTACCATGGAACCAGCTGGTAGCTCCAATACTTCTGCTCCAGGGCTGCTTCCCAACATTTGTGGCCACACTCCAGAAGGCATTCTGCATTCTTTTCTCCTCTAAAGTCTGACTTTAGATGTAGGGGGAACCCTCTGAGCCTCAGTAGGGTCTTCTGCTTTTGTTTTGTATTTTTGTTTTAATTTGCTTTGGGTTTTGGAGGTAGGGTCTTGCTATGTAATTCAGGCTGGTTTTGAACTCACTACGTAGCATAACCTGGCCTCAAATTCACTACAATCCTCCTGCCTCAGCCTTCCAAGTACTGGGAACACAGGTGTGCGGCACCAGACCCAGCCTGCTCTTGTAAAATGGGGCAATTAAGGAAATCCCAAGGGGATTCCTCACAAAGCATTTTGGGAAAACAGACAGCTACCACCATGGGATTCCTAGCTGGGAGACCCCACCTATCCACAAAAGGCCTACCAGCAACGCAGTCTCAGCACAGGGGGGCCTTTAGGGAAGATTTGACCGGGCAGAGACTTTGAGGCCCTGTTTCTCAGCTCTGGCTCTTAGCTGGACACTCTGTGCCCAGACCAGCAGCCCCCACCTTCAAGAGTAAGGATATACCTTCTCTTCTCCAGCCAGGAAAACATTTCTATAACCTTGAGGATCCACTGGGCAGGAGACTGAGGGAAGAAGTGAGTTCATGTTCCCCTTAGCTGTGTTTTAACTTCTAAATTATTCTATTTTTTTTCTATGAACATTTTAATGAAGGGTTGAATGTAAAATAGAAAAATAACATTCTGATTCCTTTTTTTAAGATGCAGACTTTTCTTGAGATTTTCATTCAAGGCAATACACAAAGAATGTTAACCTGTTAAAGAAAACACATATTCTCCCCCAGAAAAAGGCACTTGTCCAAATAAGTATCATAGTCATCCTTGACTCTGAAACTCTCAGACATCAGCCTGCTTTGTTTTCTTTTGGAAACAATTCAACTCAGATTCAAACCCTGCTGCTTTCTGAGGATGGGAACACCTGGCATGCCATCAGCTGAACACAGTGGTGCCTGGAGCAAATGTTGCTTAAGGAGGTGGCCAGGAGGGATGCTGTATGAGGGTGTACGTGCTTGCTTCTCCTTCCGAGGGTGTGGGCAGCCAGAGGCTACTGCTCCTGCAGCAAGCCTTGCTCACTCTCTGTGGACAGATAAGTCATCCAGCAGGTGGGCTGGGATCAGGCCTCTGTGGCCACCCAACTCACCATAATAGAATCCCTTATCATCCACAGGCCCAAAGACAGTGACTACATCCCCAGCCCTCAGAGCCAATTTTCCCTTTGCCCTGCTCCCTGCTTTCCTATCCCTGGGATCATAGTCCAGAGCCACCATCATGGTCTTTGGGGTCCACAGTGCAGGTCCCCTGGAGTTCCCTTGGGGCCTGAGGAAGGAAACCTGGGGCCTGGTGGGCCCCTCAAAGTCCTCAAGGTGGTCCACAGAAGGCAGGTGCCCTTGTGCTGGCAAATGCCACCTCCTGTCAGGCTGTTCTGTGCCCACCTCCACCTCAGCCACCAGGTGCCCAGGGATATTGCCCACTTGTCCATTGCACTCGGCATGGTAGAAGCAATAGGGGTCCTGAGAACCCCATGCTCTCAGAAATTGACCTTTCTGGAAGGCTAGGTCCTTCTCTGCAGCTTTGGGGTTGGCAGACATTGCTAGGGGATTATAATCAAAGAGGGCCACAAATATCCTGGCTGGAGTGTTGGCCTCTGGCCCTAGCTGTGGGGGACCACCTCAAGACATCTTAATGACCTTGTTGGATGGAGCTGGATCTAGCATGGAGGTGGGCTCACAGAGCTGGCACTCTTTCTTGCCCACCAGAGCCTGTCCTTGCCTGCACTGGGGCCCAAGCTTCTCTTTCTGCTCTTGCGTCCCTGTGTACCAAGGAGCCAAGATCATCTCCTCCTCCAATATGTTATAGGAGTCAGCTGCATACTGCTGGCTGGTGCCCTGCTGGGAAGGTGTGGACACTTGGGCATCTTGCTTTTGCCTAAGAGCCTTCTCATGGGCAGCCTTCTCCTGACACAGCTCTTTCCTGGGCCCACACTTAGGGGACAGATGGTTGAAGCATGGAGATGAGCCTTTGCTGGTGTTCATGTGCCCATAGTGGTTTTCCTCTATCACAGACTGGCCACTGGGCGGAAGTGGCCTGTGGTTCTGGGGACTCTTCTGAAAGGGCAGGTCCTTTCTGCAGCCCTTCTGGACCTCTGTGGGCCCTTGGGCTTGCTTGCCAGCTTCTTCTGAGCTCAGGTTGGACAATGGGGGGTGCTTCCTCAGGGGTTCTTCAGGCAGTACTTCTGGAAACTTGGCCTGAGGTTCCCCACAGCTCTCAGGGGAGTGAGGGCCCACTCTGGTATTCAAAGAAGCCAGCACCATCTTCTGATGGTAGATGGGGAAGGTGACTCTGAAGGAGAATGGGTCACCACAGGTGTTGCTCAAGGGAGGAATCTCTGGTAATAAGTCATAAATGAAGCAGTCCTCAGGGATCTGAGCCGGCACTGAATCCAGAGACTCACCACACAGTGACATGGTTCTCACTGAGAGCTTCTGGCATGTTAGGGGTACCTGTAGCTGGGACAATTCCAACAGAGTGCTCCCAGCAGTGGCATCAGTGACCTCTGCAACCTTGAGTCCATCTGCATACACAGCATAGCCAGTGACTTGCACTCCATTGGAGGATCCAGCTGAGTCAATGGTCACAGGGATCCAGGTGACCACTAGGAAGCCTGGCAAGGTATGGTGCTCCACCAGCACATCCAGTGGAGGGTCTGGGGGTCCTGCTAAGGGTGTGTTGAAGGTAATGGTGGAGGACACCGTTTCCCAGGACACCTGCTCCAAGTCCCAGGGCAGCCCCACCTCCACCTCCACCTGAGCCTGGTACTGTGTGCCAGGATGTAGGCCTTGAAAGGTGTAGCAGCTCACACCTGAGGGGGTCAGGGCATGTTCCTGGTCATCAAGGTACACCACATGGGGGTGTCTGCTACTGCCATAGACCCAGGCGATTTCAGCAGATGTGGCTGTGACTCTCTGCAAATGCAGTTGCGTAGGGCCCACAAAGGGCAATCCTTTGGTCCCCAGACAGGGTATGCAGAAGCTCTGCTCTTGAATATTCTGTGATGAGTCCAGCCAGCAGGACTCTTTCTTGATCTCTAAGTTCTCTATTGCCTTTTCTGTTTTGGAACCCTCTCTTCCCACCTGGCCTGGCCCTCTATCCACTGATCCCTGGCCCTCCCCAAGTAATAAGCTGGCTTCCTTTGAGGCTTTACTCTGTCCAACAGGTAGTATGGTGGGGCCTAAGTGATTTGGGGACTCAAGTGACCTGGGAGACAGGTTGCTTAGGTAGGGGCTGTCTGGAATCTGTTCTAACAAGTTGGAGGGCACCAGCCCCTGCTGGCCATTCTCAAGCTCCCCTTCATAGAAACCATCTTTGTCCAAATCCCCAAAGACATACACATAATCCCCAGCTGTGAGGGGTAGCTCACTCTCAGGATGCTCATTGGGTCCCTCAAATGGTTTGTAGCTATATCTAGCCTGGAAGATCTTGAGCTTGGAGGTAGAGGGTGCCTCAGGGTCCCTCACTTCCAGTGAGGGAGATACACTGTCTGGCTCCAGATCATCCACCTCACTGGCTGTGTCCACATCCAGAGTAAGGCAAGATGGCACAGTGGCCCACATGGACTCCACCTCAGAGAAGGAGGTAGACTGGGAGCTGGTTTTCTTGGCTTGACACCTGGAGTCCAGATGCTGGTTGGCAGGGACTCTGTCTGACACAAGGAGGGAACTAGCTGGTTCCCCAAGGGGAACTGGACCTTCCTGCAGGGTGGGACAAACAGGAGGCTGCTCTTTGGTAGGCTGTGATGGTGCACAGTCTTCAGCCTGTGACTGGAACTTGTGCCTTCCTCCACCTGTGGCTTGGGACACCAGGGCTTGGGTGGCCTCCTGTGGCTGCTCGGGAAGATGGCCAAGCTGATCTTGCAATGTCTTCAACTCCTTCCTGGCAGCCTGCAGGTCGCTCAGGGCCTTCTGCAGGTCGTGCTGCAGCTGCTGCTGCCTATTCTGCCCGAGCGCCGCCTGTTGAAGCAGCTGCTCGGCCAGAAGGCCGGCGGCGTCGCGCTCCTGGCACGCGCGGCCCAGCTGCCCGTGTACGTCGCTTTTCTCGCCAGCCACCTTTCGCACCCAGTGGGACTGGGCCTGCCGTCGCTCGTTCTCCTCCGTCAGGCAGGCGCCCTTGCACAGCGCTGCCTGCAGTTGTGCCTCTGCCTCCTCGCCGTGCCTCTGTGCCGCCGCAGCCTGCACGCTCAACGCCTTGGAATTGCGCCGCTCTGCGTCCAACTCGCGCTCCAGTGCCTGCACCCGGCGTCGTGACTCCTCGCAGTGTGGGCTCTGGCTTGTCACTTCTGACCGGGCGCATGCCTTGCCCTGCTGCAGCGTCAATTGCCGCTGTAGGGGCAGAACTTCCCGCTGGGACTCGCGCTGCAGCCGGTCCAAATCGCTGAAGTTGAGCCGCTGCGCATGAGGGACGCCCCCTGCAGGATGCGAAGGGCTGTCTAGGCCGGTGGCTACGCGCGCCTGCAACAGGTGGCACTCCTGCTTCAGCTCTTCGATCTGTTTGTCTTTGGCTAGCAGCACGCTGGCCTGCTCTGACAAGTCCCTGGCGCGCTGGCGGGCAAGGGCCTGGCACAGCTCCAGGCCGGCTCGGTTCTCGCCTAGCACGGGCGCACTCAGCGCTCGCAGGTTGGTCTCTTGCAGCTTTCGGGCACGGTCCTCCAGGCGCTGTGCGAGGCCTGCCAGCTCCGCGTGCTTCATCTTGAGCCGTTTCACCTTCTCGTCCTCGCGTGGGCCGCCACCGCGCCGCAGCTGCAGGTTATCTTCGCGCAGTTCCGAGCAGCAGCGTGCCAGCCTCTGCAACGCTTCGCTCAGCTCCGAGTTCCGCTTCACCAGTGCACAGTAGTTGCGGCCCAGCGGTGAGGGCGTCAGACCTTCTGGGGGCTGGTTTCCACAGCCTTCTCCTCCGCGCGGGTCTTTTGGTTTTCTGTGTGACCTAGGCGGCGAGGAATTTGGGGAGCCCGCGACAAAGGTGTCTGTCGAGGATGCTGGCGCCTCAGACTCGGAGGCCTTGGGGCAACTCAGCGTGCTGTAGAGCGAGCAGCAAGAAGCCTTCGCCAAGAAATCCAGGGAGCTGGCGCGCGCGGGGAGCCTGCCATCAGGGGAGCCGGAGCGCGCCTCCGGGAACCTCTCCAAAGAGCGGGAGCGAACGCGGACCGCGGCGGAGGCCCCAAGTCGAAGGGGGGGCTTTAGGGTGCGGCGAGCACTTTTGGCAGTTTCGAGGAGTGGCTCTTCCGAGGAATTATCGGCCTGGGGGTCGGGAGGCCCTGGTAAAGGGGGCTGCCAGCGAAAGTGCTCCAGTATGTGTTTGAGGAACAGCTGGCGCTCCACGTCGAGCGCCGCCTGCAGGTGGCGGATGCGCGCGGCCTGCTCGCCGTCAGTCTCCCAGCGAAGCTGCCGCAGCACTTCTTGCAGGCGACAGCGGCACTGCTCGGCGGGGACCTCGGGCGTCCCGCTGCAGCTGCAGTAGCCGCGGTTCACCAGCTCCTGGGCCAGCTGGCGCTGCAGATCGCGGGCCTGGCGCACCACGCCGTCGCGCTCACGGCCCAGCAGCTGCTGTAGCTGCCGCAGCTCGGCCTCCTTCCAGCGCAGCAGCTGCCGGATCTCGGCCTCGCGCTCCCGCTGCACCTCCGCCTGCAGCTGCCGCAGCTCCCGAAAGCGCTGTGCCTCCCATTTGGAGTGCAGGTGGTCCGCCAGCTGCTGCCGCTCCCGCTCTGCCGCCTCCCGCACCCGGCGTGCCTCGGCCGTGAAGCGCCGCCGCTCGGCTCGCCCGCGCGCGCGCTCCTCCTCCAGCTCGACCCGAAGCTTCTCCAGCTCTCGCCTCTGCTCCTCCAGGACTGCTGCCGCCTGGCCGGGGCTTCCTAGCCTTTTGGGTGACGTGCGGCTGCCACCCAAGGGGGTGGGTGAGTCCTCGGTCATTGTGGCTGAAGCCCGGCCAGACACCTGACCTCGCCTGGCAGGCCGCAGCTCGCCAACGGCTGCCGCCCCGGCCGAGGCCAACCGCCCCGCGCGCCCCTTCCGGCGCCCCCTGGCTGTCTCCTCGAGCCCCTTCCTCCTCGGGGTATGTTCCCCCACCCCCTTGTCGCGGTTGTCTAGGCTGGGGCTGAGCTCTCCCTATACCCGCTCAAAGTGGTCCCTGACCCTCCCATATCTTTCTGTCCCCACACCTTTCCTGCTATGCGGTCTTTTTGACGCAGCCAGGACACTCCCCTAGGCACTGTGCAATCCCTTCCAGGCCAAGGTGTCTCATGGAAAGCATGGACACTGCTCCTGGGCCTAGAAGGTGTGTGGGTCTCAAATGGGATGTAGGCAGACTTGATCTGGCCCTGCCAGGGGTCAGGTAGTATGTTTGATCTAGGTAGCTGGGAACTACAGCAGGATATGCCTAGACTTAGAGTTGAGCCCTGATCCCCTAACTGTAGGCAAGTGCCTCTGATATCGACTCCACTGTCCCTACTCTTCCAAGAGTTACTGAGTACATACTTAGATTATCTACTGAAACCTCTTAGCCAGGCATGGTGGTAAACACCTGTGATCCCAGGACTTGGAAGGCTGAAGGATGAGGATTGCGGAAAATTTAATGCCAGCCTGAGCTACGTAGTGAGTTCAAGGCCAGTCTGCACTACATAGCAAGACCCTGTCTCAGAAACAAAAACAAAACAAAACAAAACGAAAGTATGCCCCTTTTACAGATGAGCTATCTCAAGCCATACACTTGGGTGTGGTGCCAGCTGAGACGGGAAGTGCATGTTGGGCAAGAGCTTGACAACTGAGCTACCTCTCCTGACTTGCATTTTCTTCATTCATCTTTACTATCATCCAGGAGGGATGCTCCCAAAGATAAAGAACCCTCCATGGTCACACAGCCTGGGAGTACGTAAGGAGAGATTCAAATCTGTAAATTCTGCCTCCAGAATCCATAGATGTCCAGTTTCCAACTTGCTCCAGCTCAGGGTCAGCTGTGAGGACCCCTCTCCAGTCTTTCTCACATTTCAAAGCTGCAGGCAGAGAATGGTCAAATAGAGGCACAGGGCCATCAGACAGAGAGGCACCCAAGATGTGGGAGAATTGACCTGCTGCCCTCCACCACACCTTGGGAGCACAGCCCATTCCTTATTCCGGCCCATGAGTGCCCAGGGTTGCTGCTCCTGAAAGATAAAGCCAGAGGCCTCTGTAGGACCCTCTAAAGTTCATATGCTACTTCCCTGGAGACAGTGAGGCTAGAGAGCCTTCTACAACCTTCCAAGGGACACAGTAGCTGGTGATTCAAGCTGTTGAGCTATTAGACTCCAACAGACCTTCAGCTTCTTGTGGCATTGCCATGCTCTCCATGTTCTCATCTGTAAAATGGGTTCATAATGCAGCTCTCTTCCGTGCTGTGTGAACCCCCAGAATTCTTTGAGCACCCATGTCCTCTGTGTGTGATTGTTCGCTAAAGTGAGAGAGCATGGTACTCAGAACACAATAGAGCAAGAAACCCTGGTTGTCAGCTCATGTTAGTCTGAGTCCCTTTTTTGTTTGTTTTTATTTTTATTTTTTTATTTTTTGTTTTGGTACCAGTGATCAAACTCAGGACCTTGCACTTTCAAGACAGGCACAGTGTCACTGAGCTAAATCCCTGGCCCTGTTTGTTTTTATTTTTTGAGACAGTGTTAAATTATGTAATTCAGGCTGGCCCTGAACTCACTATGTAGCCCAGGCTGGCCCTGAATTCCTGGAGATCTTTCTGCCTCAGCCTCCCAAGTGCTGGGATTATAGGCATCCATCACCATTAAGTTCCTTTTTCCTGGTGAGAGAAACTGAGGTCTTTAAGGCAGGGATTTTTGTTGAGGCTGGGTAGAGCTGTCATGTGGAGGTAGGACAGACACTATTTGCACACCCAGAGACTCACTCTGGATGTCTCACAGCAGGCAGAAAGCATTAGAAACCTGGGTTTCCGTCCAGGCCATGCTGTTTTCGAGCTGAGTGACCCCAACAGGTTGCTTCTACACAATGCATATGTCCTAGGAGTGGAGGAACACAGTCCCAGGTAGTGGCAGCTCCAAGGTCTGTGTAAGATCTCATCTAGGGCTTGGCCTGGACCTTCACAAACCTATTCCAGACCCCTGACTCAAATGCCTCTGGCTCTTTGCATGTGTGGTTCCCTCATGCCTGGGTTGCCAACCTCACCCTACACAAAAATAATGCCATGGACCCAGCATTTACTATGTGCTGTGTTCTGTGTCTATCATTAATTATTATTATTATTATTATTATTATTATTTGGTACTGGGGCTCAAACTCAGGACCTTGTGCTTCCCAGGCAGGTGCAGTGCAACTGAACTAAATCCCTGGCCTTTCTATTATTATTGTTGTTGTTGTTGCTTTTACTCATAGCCTTCAAACTGAATTACATCCCCAGTTTTTTTGTGTGTTTTTTTTGGTACCAGGGATTGAATTTGGGACCTTGCACTTGCGAGGCAGGCGCCTGAACCACTGAGCTAAATCCCCGGCCCCCTTTTCCCCTTTTAATTTTTTGTTTTGAAACAGGGCCTTACTAAATCATCCAGCCTGGGCTTGAACCTGCCATCTTCCAGCCTCAGAGTCCCAAAGTGCTGGGATGACAGGTGTGTACCACCATTCCTGGCTTATCTATTTAAACCAGTTTATGTATTTATTTTGAGTCAGGGTCTTGCTATGTGGTCCAGGCTAGCCTTGAACTCACTATATAGCTGAGTCTGGCCTCAGACTCACAGCAATCCTACTGTCTCAGCCTCCCAAGTGCTGGGATTACATAAACCAGTTTAAAGATGAGAAGTCTAAAGCCCCAATGAATATCAAGAGTCTGTTCAAGTATGTTGGGTAGTGGGTTCCACTCAACCTTTCTCTCTCTTTTTTGGTTATCCTGCACATACCTGTAATCCCAGTACTTGGAAGGCTGAGGTAAGGCAGATTGCTGTGAGTTTGAGGCCAGCCTGAGCTATCTAATGAGTTCAAGGCTAGACGGGACTACACAGAAAGACCCTGTATCCCCTTCTCAAAAAAAACCCCCACTTTTTAAAAAAAATAAAACGGGCTGAGAATATAGCTCAGTGAAAAGGCCTTGGGTTAAATCCCTGATACTACAAAATAACTGAATAAATAAATAGCTAAATAAAATGAAAGGGGTGGATCACATGGGTGGTTTTCTTTTCTTTTTTGTTATTTATTGATTGACTGTGGCACTGGAGATTGAACTTGGGGCCTTTGTACTGAGTATCCCTAGCATTTTGTTTTATTTTATTTTATTTTTTGAGACAGGGTCTTGCAAAGTCACTCAGTTGCCCAGGCTTGCCCTTAAACTAGTGATCCTCCTGCTTCAGCCTCCTGGAATGCTGGGATTTTAGGTGTGCACCACCATGCCTAGCTTTTTCTTTTTAAATTAGTATTATCATTTATGGCGTTAGGGATTGAACCCAGAGCCTGGCTCATGGTAGGCAAGCACTCTACCAATGAGCTACATCCCCAACCCTCATGGGTGGTTTTCAAACTGGATTCCTTAGGGCTCCAGGATGTTTTGGAAATACTATATGTCTGTTTATAGGTCTGTGGGGAGGGGATATGTTGGCAACTGAAGAGGAGACACTGGCCCTACTTGCCTCAGTGAGCAGATCCAATTGTTAGTGTCATTTATAAGGTTCCAAGGAGGACTTTGGTTTCATAAAGGGTTATGCTATTGCAAGAGAGAGAGGGAGAAAGTTATGCTATTTGTTTTTTTGTTTTTGTTTTTGGTACCAGGGATTAAACTCGGGTGCTTGCGCTTGTGCAAGCAGGTGGCGAAACCCCTGAGCTGAATCCCCGGCCCAAGTTATTCTATTTGAAACAAGTTTCAAAACCCCTGGTTAGAGGCCTTCTGTTTACTATGCGCATACACACACACACACACACACACACACACACACACTTCACCCAAAGACCTCATCATTCTGCCAACTCTGAGAGAAAGCAATGTGCTCCCCTCATATTGGCAGCCCTGCATCCCCTATTGTCACTCTTCATAGTCCCAGACCTTTTGGGCCATGGGGTCTGGGATCCTTGGTGAACTGGCTTACATCCCTCCCCTGCCAGGCAAAGCCCAGAGCTTGACAGAGCTCACCTGGCCTCAGGGAGGGGCACAGGCTCATCTTGAGGGACCCAGGAAGGCTTTATACTTGCCAACCCTGGAGCCCCAGTAGCCCCACTGTGCCTCCCACTTCCTTACCTGTGTTGATGTACTTCTGTCTATTCTTGGCTGCCTCCTCTGGAACCATACCTGGCACATGGCAGATGCTTCATAAGTACGTGACAGGAGAAGACAGAGAAAGGTCCATGGACGTGATGGTCCATCTGGCTTCCTAGCTGGGTTACACAGGGAAAGCCACTTTCTTAGAGCCTCAGTGTCCTAGTCTGTCATCTTGGCACTGCTCTGTGGTGCTGAAACATCACAAAGGAACATAGTAAAATTGGAACTTGGGCAAGTGCTATGGGTGAGGAATGAGGTGCAGGGCCTTCTCAGAACAGGCTTCCTGGGGGAGGAGACAAAGGAGCTGGTGTGGAAGGAGAGGGCATGAGGACTGTCCAGGGGAATTTTAGGCAGAGGGAATAGAACTGCAAAGCCCCAACCCCTCTTCCCAGGGCAGACCCATACCTTTTCTGATACTGATACTTTACCATCTTGTCATGGTCCTCACTTGGGGCAAACAGGGAGGACTAAAGCTCAGAGGGAGGGTCACTCAGCCAGACCTCACCCAGTTGAGTTCCTTCCACCCTCAACACTGACTGCCCCCCGCGAAAGGGGCTGGACAGCTGCAGGGGGAAAGTGTTCTCCACCCCCACTTTCTGGGCCCTGCAGCTGTCCTGGCTGATCCATGTCCTCCTGGGCAGGGAGAGGCAGCACACGCACCAGCTTCCAGATATCTGGGTGGGCCACTGAGCTGGTCTCTTGCCCTAGCAGCCTTGGCTCAGCTCCCTCCCACACATTATTTCTCTTTACAGGTAGCCAGCCCCTTCCCACCAGCACTTCATCTGCCTCACCCAATCCTCACTACACCCAGGGAGGCTGGCACTGTCCCCACCACCTCAGGAAACTGCCCAGGGTCACACAAGAACTTGTGTCCAGGTTTATGTGACCCAAGACTGGGCTAACAGAGCTTCCCTTGCTGGCTGTGGAAGGCTACCTGTTGTTATAACCCTCAGCCTTAGGACAGGTGGCTGCTGCCTTCTGAGAACCTTGCTGCTGTTGGTAGTGCCACAGACCCATCTCTCACCTTTTGGCACCTCCATTTCTCTCCCACTCAGACCACTTCCCATCACTGTCTTCCCTCGGTAGCCTGTTGCATGAGACTGCCCTCTGACTCACAGGCACCAGTGAAAATGACCAGTTGTCCTATTTAGCCATAACTCTAGGTTAGGGGACAATTAATCAAGTGTTTATTGAGCACTCAGTTTGGTCAGAGCATAAGTTAGGGAGTCAAGCTATGTGTTGATTTCTTTTCCTTTTTTTTTTTTTTTTGAGACAGGGTCTTGCTATGTAGTTCAGGGTGGCCTTGAACTTGTGACAATCCCCCTGCCTCCGCTTCCTGAGTGCTGGAAGTACAGGCATATACCACCATGTGCGGTTTTACAATGTGTTAAGTTCTTCATTTGCTGAGATCAGAGACTAGAGAAGAAGGAAGGAAAAGGAGAGAAGGAAAGGGGGCAAGAAGTGAGGGGAGAAGGAAAGAAGGGTGGGTGGGAAAGAGAAAGGGCAAAAGGAGTCCTTTAGGTCAGCCAAATCTAGACCTTGGTTTGGCCCTCACAGCCCAGAAGCAAACTTGGGCTTGATCCTCTGATGAGCCAGCCAGCCGAGAAAGTGGTTAACAGCCTGCACCTCTGTCTCTTCCTCTATCAATAGGGCTGGCTCCACAGCTGACTGCAGAGGGCAGTGGGGCATCAGTGGAAGGCTGAGTGCGTTTGCTCGCCTGGGCCCAGTGTACAGCCTCAGTTACCTGAGCAAGGGAACGTGGTGGGCTCTCTTGAAGCATGAATAGCACTTGCCAGATGGATAAAGGCACCCAGGCAAAGGGAGCCATGTGGGCAAACGTGGGGAACGTAGTGAGGCTGGAGCACTGGTTGTGGCAAGGGAGGGAGGTGTGTGTGGGGGGGTGGCCTTCAGGGTGGCATGGGGAGGTGAAGGCAGAGCCTTACCAGCATGCTGCACATGGGGGCCTAACTCCTGGAACCCGGCTTTCTAGCTGGGTGACCAGGGCAAGCCACATTCCCGGGGGCTCAGTGTCTGCTTCTGTCAGACAGAACATCATAGCACTGCTCTGTCCTGCCAGTGAATTCTGCAGTGGGTACATAAGTCTGGTGCCCAGTTGGCCCTAACAGGTCTGAGCATCCACTGCCTATTTCTCACCTCCCCAGAGGCACCTTCTTTTCCCTATCTCCTCACCTACTAGGGAACTACTTCCATCTCTGGCCTCTCCCTCAGCTCTGTCAGGCCCTGCACACTTCACCAATACCTTGCCACCCTCTGTCATTCTTCTTAGCACCTCCCTAGGAGGCTGTGGTCCCCCAGGGAGCAGATGCTACCTGTGTATCTCCCTCTCTGGACCTGGGCCTGATGCCCAAGGGTGAGCACCTGGGGCCCTGTGCTGATTGGAGGAAGGAGCCCTCTCTCCATGTGATAGGTTTGAGCAAAGGGCCTGGAGTCCCAGAGGAAGAGGAAGAGGAGAGGTCTCTTCTGATAGAAGGCCTGGGAGGTGGCACAGAAGGCCAGCTATGATTGAACAAGGTTTGGCTGAGAGGAGGGTAGCTGACGTGACTAGAAGTCAGCCTTGGTCCTGGAAGCAGTGAAGGTTTTAGAAGACGGCGTAGACCCCAAAGGCAGGACAACTTTTCCATGGAGCCTGGCTACATTAACTGTGTGCTTGTATAGCAATGGCACCCTGATGCTCAGAGCCTCAGCTGGCCACCTGCAAAAAGTGGGTACAATGGAGTTATCTTGAAGGATGGTGGTGAGGTTGCAGGAATATGCTGTAACTAAGTAGTCCTTGGCATTCAGCTTTTCCCAGTCCCACCTTTGCACGTCAAGGTCAAAAGTCTGGATTGTGCTTCCTCAGCTGGCTTGGAATTTTTTCAGGGGAAGGGTCCGTCTTCCTTTGTGGGTCTCAACAGAAGGAAGCAGTTGCCAATAAAATTGTTTTCTTTCTTGGATCTGGGCCTACAAAGGGCAGGCCCTGTGCTCACAGTAGGACCATGAAGTCAGGCCCCTGGTTTCCTAGTCCCCCATGACTCTAGGGACCTGGTAGAGTTTCACAAATGTTTGAGCAGTGTACTGGCACCATGTGGAGGTACAGTAGTCCCCTGCTTTTGAACTGGATATATTCTAATACCCCTAGTGGGTGCTGGAAACTGCACATAATAGTTGATATGATTGACTGAAATGTTGTTAAATGGCACATAACTAAATTTAATTTACAAGTTAGGTCCAGTAAGAGATTAACAGTAATTCATAATGAAATAGAGGAATTATAACAATATACTACAATAAAAGTTATTCAAACTGGGCATGGTGGTGCATGCCCGTAATCTCAGAAGTCTGAGAAGTGAGGCAAGAGGGTCACAAGTTCAACCCCAGCCTTCTGAGTACTGGGATTACAGGTGTGAGCCACCATGCTCAGCTAGAAACTCTTTTTTTTTTTTTTTTCCAGCTAGAAACTCTTAAGGCCTAAATGTTCCTGAAGCTGTCCCCTTCTCTCTACCTCCACTGCCACCTGTGGTCCAAACCACCATGACCTCTTGCTTGGATTATGGCTTCCGAGTAACTTCTGTTCCCTTTCTTATCCCCCTACCCAGCTGCATACCCCATTCTCCAATCAGAGCACTTTCCTTAAAGGTAGCCTTTGGCCATGTCATCCATACTCATGTCCACCAGAGGCCTCTCACAGCACCCAGAGGAAAACTGTCCCCCTAAGTTTTCTACAGGACTCCCATGTCTATCACCTGTATGACTTTATTCAAGCATTTGGCCTTCTGCATGTTGGTTTCTTGCCACATGGGGAAGTTAATAGTAATATGGTTATATTACAGGGTGGTTTTGAGTATTAAAGATGACAGTGTTAAAAGGGGGCCTGGTAGGGCCAGGGATTTAGCTCAGTGGTTCTGCCACCTCCCTCGCAAGCGCAAGGACCCAAATTCGATCCTGGGTACCAGAAAAAAGGGGGGGGGGAGCTGGTACTTAGTAGGTTCCAGTGTTGCCTTTTTTGTTTTGTTTTTTGTTTTTGGTACTGGGAATCGAACTCGGGACCGCTTTCGAGGCAGGTGGCGGAACCACTGAGCTAAATCCCCAGCCCCTGTTTGTTTTGTTTTTTGAGACAAGGTCTCCCTGTGTAGTTCAGACTGACTTTACACTATGTAGTCCAAGCTGGCCTCAAATTCCCAGGAATCTGCCTCAACCTGCTGAGTGCTAGGATTATAGATAGGTGTGCCCCACCACCTGGCTCAATGTCAGCTTTTTTTTTTTTTTTTTTGGTACCGGGGATCGAACTCCGGTCCGTGCACTTGCGCAGCAGGCGGCGAAACGGCGAAACCACTGAGTCAAATCCCCGGCCCAGTGTCAGGTATTTTTATTTATGCTGTTTCTTCAGGGAATCTTTCCAGATCTCCCATTGAAAAGTAGGTCTCCATAGTCACCTTTTCATCAGCGATTTTGTTTCATCATAGCACTTAGCAGTACCTGAAATAATTTTGGTTATTCAACTATTTTATACAACCAATATTTATTGTGCACCTACTACGTGCCAGGCACTTCGTACCTGCTATCGGACTGGACGCTCCAGAAAGGCCAGGTCTCTGCCTGTCTGGTTCATCCAGATTCACCCACGCCTCCCCAGCACTGTGACCAGCACAAAGTAAGGGCTCAGCTCAGGTAGGCGCCCCGCCCCCCG